TTAATTTTAACGTGTCGCAGCGGAGCAAATATTTGCAAAAATATATTTGTGCGCAAATATGCAACGCGTTTTCACTTTCGATTTGTTATAAGAACAAAAAACGAAGCAAACAAAACGTAAAAATAAATAAAAAATTGCGTAAAGACTTGCGATTCTGTTATGGCAACTGACGCCTGTCGCCCATCGCCCGCCTCTGCCGTTAGCCACTTGTGTCAGTGCCATTGTTCTTTCGGTTAGCATGGCCAGTTTTGAGTGTTGCCAAAAGCATAAATTCAATTAGTCGGAAGGTTGCCATTTCTTCGCATTCGAGCGCAATTTTTCTTACACAATATGTGCTACGCACAGCTTCACCTTCGTCAAGTGCAGCATAGAAAGTGAAATTTTTCATGTTTGCAGTTTATTTTCTCTTTGCTATTTCTATTCTTTTCGCTAAATGCTCAATATACTATAGTGTAATGTCAATAGTTTAGCGTAAGCGATGCAGATGTCCTAGACCCAATTGAAAGTGGTTGACCACATGTAAACAAGCACTGCACGCACTTAGACTTGAAATTCCGGCGCTCATCTTCACACTCAATTCTTATTTTATTTTTTGGTTTTTATATATTTTTTTCTTGTGTTTTTATGTTTCTTTTTTAATTTTTTTTTTTTAATATTTATTTTTTTATTTGTATTTTTTTTTTTAATTATGTTTTTGTATTTTTCTATATCGGTATTCAGGTATTTTTTTTTTTAGCAGTACTCAATAAATATCGAAAATTATTTTATTTTATTTTATTTTTTTCAAATTGTACGAAGATGAAAGAAACTTATCGCCGAATTTTAGAACTATTTTCTATATGAAAGAATTTAATTTAATTTCACACTAAATACTTCTTAAGCTTCTTGAACTTGATATATTTTTTAATAATTTTTGGTAAACAAAAAAAATTTTACGTAATTTCACGATTTATAGCGCGTGTGTTAATTAACTGCTGATAAGAGCCGATATAAAAATAGCTGATCCCATGGATTAATTCACTTTGGTAATTAGCATGTTCTATTATTAGATGCCATTTTGTTCATCAAATCAATCATAGGAGTTTTAACGCATTAACACGCTACAATTTCAATTAAAAAGCAAAACCTGTGAAGAAGCACTTAACATAAATTTTTATAGGTGCAGTGAATATTTCTTACAGCTACACACGAGCGTGAATTTGTTAAAAAATGTGAACTCTTCTGTAGTAGCGATTTTGAGTTAATGCTGAGCAATAAATTTTTCTACGCAGTAATGATATGCTCGGTATTAAAAGCTCCTGATCAATTATTTACCTCTGTGCCTGATTGATTTTTGCATGTCTGGCTTTTGACAGTTTTTTTTTATGTTATCATCGAACTTTAGTTACTTTAATGGCATTATTCAAATATTTTGAGACTTTCACTAAAGATCTGAGAGCTTTAGCACGCACATTACAGCTTTCACAAGCTTTAAAAGTAAATATTTTAATAACTTTTCAAATATTCTGAAGCTTTTATTAAATATATTGTAGCTTCACCACGCACATTAGAGCTTTCATAGGCTTTCACTATATTTTGGTTATTTTCGTTGCATTTGCCAAAAGAATTGTCTCCTATAATGTACTAATTCCAGGCTATAGTTGTCCTTTTTTCTGAGCATAAATTATTTGTTCTTTGTAATATGGACGTAATTCATATTAAATCCGTTAATACGCATTTAAGTTGTTATTTTCCACGACGCACATTAGTGCATACAGCACGCAAAGTAGTGTGCAATTAAATCTAAAGAACCAAAACTCGCGTTTGAATTTTTTTTTTAAGCAACTACAAAAATAGTTTTATGACCGAAAATTTTACGCATTAGAATTTTTCATTTGTGTCGGCCTTTGCCAGATTCATTACACGAATTTTTGGTTAAGAAGTAATTAATTAATTATTAACGGAGTGACCAATTTAACTGATTGATTTGTTTACATCATTAATATTTAATTTATTTGACTGTCATTATTTGTACTAATATAAGCTGTAGCGCACACTGCAGCTTCATATTGAAGAACTTAACATGAGCACGCATTGTCAATTTATTGATTCAATTTAATTTTGTCTACTTTTTTTTTGTTTTACAATTCATGCATATGTTCAGTTATTATTTATTGCTTTAGCTTTTAAAGTGTGCTTTTTCCCTTTTTCAACTTAACTGTTTTTCAGCTCTTCTTAACTGCACCTGCAAATGCTTTTTAAAATTTTAATGAAAACCGCTTCTTGCACTCCGCTCTCTTCATGTACTCTCTTCATGCTTTGTAAAAATATACGCTATGAATAGATAAACTCAAATGCACGTGGCAGTAATTGAAGAAGGAAAAAATCAATTTCCTTGCTTTTCTTGCTTCATTTAGCACCCAGCCTATGAGAATGTTTGTGTCGCCATGCGTCAATAAGCGCCACGGCCTGTGTTGGTCAACAAGCGACATAACAGCAACAGTAGTGGCAATAGAAAGTATAGCAACACCTGTTCGTTGCGGGCCAACTGGTGCAGGTGTGTCCGCAAAAAGCTTACCGCTTAGAATGAGGTCATAACTAGAATGTTAGTTAGAAAAAAAAGAAGGATTTTTAATGTCTGCATGTGTACACACACGGTTGGCTGTATTTGTACATTAAAGTGTCCTTGCAGCTGAAGTTTACTACCAGATTGTACTATACAAAGAGATTCAATTCAATTCGATTAATCTGTCCACAAGCCACTTTCAGTAAGAATTTATGCACACTTCTGGCTACTTAAAATCTTGTGTTGCCAAGTATCGTATTTCACATTTCATTTACGCAAACGCTCCTTTCACCAGCTATGTGCACAAGTTGTCGATTATTTTTCACCAAAAATGTTATATTAATTTGCTGTGTTGCCAGGCGCCAAAATTTTGTGTGCTTTTATTTGCCAATTTCTTCTCGCCTTACTCTGTTTGCTGACATGCTACACAGCAACTCCCGCGCGCGTTCAATCTAGTTATAATCCTTTAAAATATTCTTGCTGTCTGCTAATCAGTCACTCGAAATGATTTCTACCAATGTAACGTAACTTAATATCACAAGTTCTTGAGCTACTTAAGTGTACATTAGTTATCGATAGCAGCCTTGAGTTTGATCTCTCATAGCTGATGACATATCTTTAAACAAGTGTATTTGTTTTTAAATTTGAAGTGGGCACTTGCATGACTGTTCAATTATTACGAAATTTAAGAGCAAACAATTTTTATTTTCTATATTGCACACATACATACATGTGTACATTAGGCTAATAAGTGGGTTCTTATGAAATTTACGCCCACTTGCAATAAGAGACTAAAATTCTGAAATATTTCTCAACAAAAATATCAGTGTAAATCTATGTTGCTGAAGTGTTGCCATCATACATACATACATATATACTTCAAGATTAATCTCTACAAACATGTGACTCAGTGCTTTGATTAATAATACAAATTTTTAAAACTTTCAAATATTTATTTTATATTTTCATTAGTTTATTATTATATTTTTCATTATCGCTCTAATTAACAATAATTTGCGTTTTAAGTACTTACTTGTAAATGCTGCATGTAAGCCCTTGATAACATGACTTGGACTCGTGATACACAGATATATGTGTGTTTGTACGACCAACATATTTACATTTTTATAAATAAATGTAAAAGCCCTTCCCGGCTTATCAGCGCTGTGCAGTTGATATACAGGCTCACGACGACTTATCAGTGCTGCTTTTTTTTTTTTTTTTTAACTGCTAAGTACTCAGCGACATTGCAAGAATTGCAAATGGATTTTTTACCCCCCACACACACACACATATATATATATATACATATATATATTAAGTAAGCCCCAGCACTGGCTTGCTGCTCTATCACACATTCTATGCGTTGGTGCTAATGAGTTTCAATTATTTTTTCCCCCCGTTTACTTCTCGTTTGCCATTAATTTCCGCTAATTCCATTCAACGCAATATACTAAGCAGCAAATATAAATATACATACATGCATATGATTTTTTTTCCACCACACCGCCGTGTTGGCTTCGCTGGGTGTCTCCGTGTGTTGTATTACCTGTCGGAGCAATTATGTACTTCGGCTCTTTCACACATGCATATACGCACCATTAAGCGCTCTACTTGCCCATAGTCGGTTACGATAGCCACTGCTTTGCGCCTTCGTGTTTCTTTTTCAGCTGATGCGGTATTCGTGCCTAACCGATGTACGATCCGCACATTCAGCGCTGCGTGTGTGTGCCTGTGTGCGTGTTTGTGCGCTGAGTGGATATCTGAACTTTCGCTTTTCTATTTTCCACGAACGCTTAAGCATTGGGTGGGTGGTTGGCTGGCAGCGGGTGAGCATTTGGAAAATAGTAGATAACATAGGTACATGTTACACATACGCCATGGACGCACAAACGTACTACGCATACCAGCGCATGCAAGCGGATATAACATATATACATGTAGAAGTGTGTGTGAGCGCGCTGAAAATGTTAACAGCCGTCATCCATTGTCTGTGCTGGTATGTGTTTCATGTTCGCATTCGCACTCACTTTCGTGTGTTCGCGGCGTATGAAGTCGCATTCGTATGTGTGCGCCGAGGCATACTTTTTTTTTGTAATTTTGAAATACAGTATATTCGTGGCAATATGAGCGGCAACATGTTGTAGTTAGTAAGTCAGTCGGCGTTTGACAGTCACAGTAAGAAGAGGCTATAAACGAAGCCAATAGCCGATGATAATATAACACGCGCGCTCGCTGCAACAGCAATAAGTACAAGCGAAAAATATAGAACAACAACAACAGGTCAACGGTTTTATTCTACAATACGTGCAAAAAATTCGAATAAAATAAATAAAAAATAAATACTTTTGCAGAGATTTCAAATTCAAAGCGATAAATATATTTTTGAAAACAAATCGATTTCGTAAACGCAAAAATCATACGCAAGTTAATGCTAAAGTTTGCGAAATTTCCCAACACACCAGTAATGTGTTTCTACCGTTAATTTCAGTAAACAAGTGCAATGTGACTGTTTAGAAACGCAAAGTTTCCTTAAAAGAAAAGCGCCACTAAACAAGTGTTTCGTATAAATTTGTGCTCAGCGTACGAAAACAAATATTCAAGGACCCAGTGCATGCGTCCGCAGTTTCAGCGTGAAAAACTTTCAGTGCAAGAAAACAGCACATTCAACTACAGTGTCTGCTAAAGTGTTTTTTTTTTCTCTCATACACTGAGATTGTTAAGCCAATTAGCGGCATTTCGAAAGTAAGACAAATAAACAAAAAGGCAACTGCAAATTATAAAAAGTGCGAACAGCCAACGCGTTGTATTGTCAAAGTTATAGTGCATTTAGAGAACGTTAAATACCACAAACACTAACAAAGTAATTACCCCAAGAGCAACATTTCAACCCTGATGGCAACAACAGCACCGGCCAGCGCCCCCCTTAACAGCCACAGCAGCTCCGCCAACAGCAGCAGCAGCAGCAGCAAGCCGATTACCATACCCTTGCTTGAGCGCTTCACCAGCCAGCTATCCACCGGTTCGGCCGACAGTGGTGTCGTTGTTGGTGGCGTCAACTCTTCCAGCAGCAACTCTGTGGCGTTGACTAAAAAGAGCCTTGCCACCAACTGTTCACTGGATACGCGCTGCAATTCGCTATGTCTGCACGGCACGAATGCCAAATGGCAGCTGCAGAAGCTAAAGCAACCCACCAATAAACAGTTGCTCTCACAGGATAGTGGCATCGATGCCGTTGTCGATGGCGGCAGTGGCGGTACATTGGCCACTGATGGCGACGCGGATTCGACTGCCGGCTCGCGGCAACAACTCAAGTCCATGCAGTGTTCGTCATCCAGCAGTGAGTCGTTGGGCGGCAATTCATCCGGCCTGTCGCTGTCTAAATACTCAGAGGATGGCGGCGAGTCGGAGAACTCGTCGGGCATTTGCATGAGTGTCGGCAGCGGTCGACGCATCAAGTATCGCAATAGCGCCAGCACCTGCACGCAAGGTCTAGAGGATCGCATCGAAGAGGTTGACATACCAGACGATTACGATGAGGAGGATGACGATGTGGATAATGACGACGCCGATATAGACGGAGACGATGATGAAGTCGATGCTGGCGTAGACGATGATTTGGACGTGGATGAGGATGAAGACGTTGAAAGCGATAGCGATTCGGGTAATAATTCCGGTGTTGTGGGCGAAACAGGCAGCGCCTCTATGCCCACAACGATCGGTACACTGAATGGCGCCTTTGGCAAGAACGTGCCAACGAAAACGCTTGGCGTTAAAGAACCACCGACAGCCAACCAATTGCACATCAAATCGTCGCTACTAGCACCGCAGTGCGCCTCAGCGCCGGTAGGCAGTGTTACTTACTCAACGTCCCACCACAAAGCCAATGAAACAAATAAGCCAACCACTAGCAGTAGTAATCATAATAATCTAAACAATAATCGTAGTAGTAGCACTAGAGACCATAGTAGTAGTAGTAGTAAACCGCAAGCAGCCACTAAGTCCAAAAATCCCGAATCACAAGTATTGGCCACTGATGGCAATTATTATTTTCCGCTGCTGAAAATCTCCGACGATCCGTACATTGATTCCAAATTGATTAACAAGAAGGATGGCCTACAGGACACCATGTACTATCTGGACGAGTTTGGCAGTCCGAAATTACGCGAAAAATTCGCACGCAAACAGAAGGAGAAGGAACAGAAGCAACAGAAGGCGCAAAAGAAGCAAAGCAAACGCGAAGAGGAGCGTAAAAAGCGCACAACAATGGCGCCGAACGCCACTGCTGCATACACGACTGACAAGCAAACCGCTAACAGCGGAACGACAATGGAGTCCAAAAAACCAAGCAACGTCATAGACGCTGCAACAAACTGTGATGATAGCTGTAAGGAGCATAGGCAAAGTAATAAGTATAAGCATAAATGCGTTGCTGCAGCTGGAGGTGAGCAGAAGAACGCTAATGATGCGGATACGCGCATTACAGCGAGCAACAAGTCGCTGTCGACCGCAACCTGCGTGACCTGGAACAAAGTATTTCGCAAGTTCAAAACTGTCTTAGGTAAATGGGGTTCCCTAGAGTTACCATTTTTTTAATATGCTTAAAATAATATAAAAAAAGTTTTAAAAAATATTTTTTGTAAGTTTAAAAGTGAAATTCTTGCATTGAGGTGCAGAATTGCGAAGCCGCCTTAAAATATGCTTTCGCATGCTATAGCAGATTGTTACATAACACACATGCTCTTACCATACAAAAATATTTTTAGAAAATCGCTTTCGAAATATTGTATGTTTATTTTTTTAAGTATTTAAATTTTGTTTTGAAAAACATGTAGCCTACTATATTTCAAAATGCTGTGAGGTTTTCTTCCATAATTTTTAGTTGCCATTTACTAACTTACACATTTTTCTTCTCTCTTTTTAGGTAAGTCTGATATGAGAACGCAAGCTATGGCTAATACTGGTAAGGCGCAAGTTTTTATAAAGTAAATAATTGTTCGACATTAGAAAACATTTTTTAGCTTTGTAGATTGGAAAACATTATAATATAATTTCTAGTAAATGCAACTCTGTTTTACGGCGTGCAGAAATGCACGATTTTTCTTTGCAAAATTTTGGTAGAAATTGTCATTAAGCGGTTACATGGGTTTCAGGGTATCAAAAAAAAATTTTTTTATTGTCTTATTTAATTATATAACATCGCTAGAATATTGTCCTAAATTCTCAAGTTGATACCAATAATAGTTTTGCAGGTACAGCTTTGAAAAGTTGCGCGCTCGAGATCAGCTATATAGTCACTTAAAACTTTTAACGCGTTTTTCTCGAAACTCGAAACTTTTCAAAGTCGCTTGTCAAGATTTCTTACGAACTACTCAACCGATCTTAATGAAATTTTACACAGATCTTTGAGCTATAATTTGAGCGAAGAATTTTTTTTTGTTCAATTACGACTGTTTAAATTTAAAAAACAAAAAAATTGAGAAGTTTTCACCAAAATTTGCATGTTTTTGTAAAAACGTCTGCCAAAAATACAATTTTCATTTTTTATTTATTTTTTTTATTATTATTTTTTTAATATTTTTTTTTGGTTTTTTCTCAATCCAATACCTAGTTAATGGTCTTAGTACAAACACGTATTTTTTTTTCTTTTCACTGTTGATGATCCTGTCAGAAGTTCTGCTGTCGGAAGCAAATTTTTTCCGAGGCACTGCCGAAATTTATATATTTTTTTTAATATCTTCCTTTGAAAATTTCACAAAATCTTTATCAAATATGTATGTTCGGCATAATAAAAAGTTCGAATAAAAAATTTCAATTTTATATAAAAAAAAAAAATATTGAAAATAGCGCGTCGACGAAACCCATGTTATCATGCTTAAATATTTATAGAATTTCATAGACATTTAAAATCGATAGAAATTTTTTTTTTTTTCATAAATTATTAATCATTTGGCAATTTTTTTCTTTATACATAAATATTTGATTTAATTTTGTTTCTTTAAATTTAATTTAATACAAAATTAAAAATTACGAATTTGTAATTATTTCGTAATTAATTAATAATTTTTTTTTTTATTTATTAATTTGCATTTTTTTTATTTATTTATTAATTTGCATTTTTTTATTTATTTATTTTTCCTTTTATTATTTTGCCTTTTTTATTTATTTATTTCTTCTTTTATTAATTTGCCTTTTTTTATTTATTTATATTTTTATTGTAAATTTATTTATTTTTTTAAATTTAATTTTAATTTCTAAGGAAATAATTTATACATTTAAAATTTTTTATTGTTTTTTTTTTTAATAATTTCCGTTATTGTTTACCAAAATGATTTTCCGGTGTCAACGATATGGAATTCTAAGAATAAGTATATACATACATACATATACATTTTTTTCAAAAATGGAAGCAGGCATGCCATTTGCCCCAATTCATTGCCTCCTACGTATGTACATAGCTACATATATTAAGTGCATATGTAGCACTTGCAAAAATATCTTACAAATTACTCAAGACAAAAAAAAACACAATTTTTTCTGTTTTTGCGGTAATTTTATTTTCCACAGCATTTTTCCGGAAATTTTTGTAAATTGAAACTGAATTTCCTCAAATTTAGAATAGCTTGCCATAATTTACTCGTGTAACATAATTCACTTTTTGAATAAACAATTTGATGTTCTAAACATTTTCACGTCATTGAATTAAAATTTGTAGTACTTTTTGACATTTGGCAATTCAAACCTATTTTTCCTGTATTATACATATTAATTTCGCATTTCTTTACATAATTTGTATTTAATTCAGCTATGACCGCGTTTATACGCAAGACATATCGTTTTGAACTTTGATTGCTGCCTTCTGGCCAATATTACATTGTTTGTACGCATATGATTACATGCCTGTATGAATACATATGCATACATATATATAATATTTACGAAGCTGATAGTGCTATATAAGCAAATCTAGCACAAATAGTAAACAATACGCAGAACAAAGACGCATTTTGCGTGTGTATATGTAACCTTATTAATTCCTTATCATTACATGTATTTACTTATTTATAATATTTTTTATTCCTTTTGAATTTTTTATTATATACATTTATATTATTTTTATTATATAATTTTTTTTTATAAAAATATTGCTTTTTGGAAAAATTATAATTTTTTTTATAAGAATTATTTATATTTTTTTTTTTAAACTAAATATTTTTTAATAAAAATTATTTTATTTTTTTTATTAAAAATTATTTTTTTTTTAATAAAAATTATATATTTTTTTAAATAAAAATTATATATGTTTTTATTTTTATTTATTTATTTGTTTTTGTTTTTTTTATCATTTTGTTTCAAAAAAATTTTTTAATCGTTTATTTTATTAAACAAATTTTTTTTTTGCTTAAAATATTTAAAATTATAAATTTTTTTTAATAAAAATTATATTTGTATTTAATAAAAAGTATTTTATTTTTATAAAAAGTTTATTTAATTATTTGTTTTTTATGATTTTGTTTCAATAAATTTTTTTATTCGTTTTTTCTTTTTTTTTTTTTGCTTAAAATATTTTATCAAGTTTATTGTTTGCTTATACATTTTTTTTTGCTTAAAAAAAATATTTTTGCTTACAATTTTTTTTTTTAATTTCGAAAAAATATACATTGATGTGAGACTTACACATACCAATACTTACTTACAGTTGCAATGGGCGATAAGACTTGCTTTTATTTTTATTATTTTTTAATTTTTTTCTCTCCTCTACATTGATTACAAATAACCGCTGTGCGATTAAGCCGAGAAAAAAGAAAGCGAAGAAACGTCTTCAACACGTCATTTACAAAAATAATTCAATGAACGCATAGCAGCACAACAACAAATGTGTTGTTTATCATTTCACATTGATGCTTGCACTGGCTGCTGTAGCTATAAAATAAACATACATACAAGTATGTAGTTACTGAAAAAGTATTCTTCCGTCAGCTTAGACCACTCGTCAGTCCTACTGTCACTTGCCGATAAGCAGCCGTAATCAGCATGACTGTTGTTTTTTTCATTGTGCGCAGCCTTCTTTATTCATTCACTATTTTTTTTATAAAATTATATAAATTTTATAGTTGTACTTAATTTTTTTCATTTAGCTTAATAAAAAACTTTCTTTCATTTCTTCGCTATTTCTATACAATTTTCATTTGTATTTATTTTGCACGTTTTTTTATAAATGAATTTTTAATTATCTTCGCGGCATATATTATATTTCTCGAGCGCGGAAAAATATACTATATGTATAATTTGCACAATAAAAGCGGTCATTTGGGTTATCGCGCCTAAAAAGTCAGCTGTTTTATGCAGTGAGCGTACGCAGACGACAGGAAACATTCAAGATAAACATAAGACTCGGCAAAACAAGAAAATCTCAGAATAATGAACTTTTTTGTTGTTGTGCAGCAAAAATATGAATTTTATGCATTTGCGAATAGTTTTGTTAGAATCAACTTTGGAATTTTTTCACTGCACGTGTGAACAGCGTATTAGTTTATATACATATAATTCACACAAGCCCCTTTGTGTTAAAATAAAACATGAAGTATAAATTTTTTCCGTTTTTTGTAATTTTTTTTTATACATATATTTATTAATTAATTTTTTTTGTTATTCTTTATAAATTTTTTTCTTATTCTTTCTACAGTTTTTTTTAATTTTTATGACTTTTTATAATTTTTTTTTTAATTTTTTGTTATTTTTTATAAATTTTTTGTTTAATTTTTGTTATTTTTTATAAATTATTTGTTTAATTTTTGTTATTTTTTATAAATTTTTTTATTTTATTTTTTTAATTTTTTTGTTTTTGTAATTCTTTATAAATTTTCATTCTTTTATTTTTGTAGTTCTTTATAAATTTTAATTTTTTTATTTTTGTTATTCTTAAAACATCTTTTTATTTGTATTTTTATTTTTTCGTTTTTATTTATTATGTTTCTTTTGTTATTCTTTATTTTATTTATTTTTATTTTTTTATTCTTTATACATGTTTTTATTTTTACTTTTTTTTATTTTATTTTTATTTAATTTTTTTTTTTATATAATATTTCTTTATTTTATTCTTTTTTTATTTTATTTTTTTTATTCTTTATACATGTTTTTTTTATATTCTATTTTATTTTTATACTTCTTAAATTTTTTTGTTATTTTATTTAAACATATATGTATATTTTATATACTTATACTTGTATATTTCATTCATTCGTTTTGCTACTTATAAATACATTTTATTACTTTTATATATATAATTTTTTTTTTTTTCATTCTGAAAGAATCTTCACACTTAGCAAATTTTGTTTTGATAATTCAAATATTTTCGTTGAGATTATATCAATAAATTTGTGTAAATCAAATGTTGAATATTTATTTTGCCAACAAACTTTCCGCTGCTGCTATGCTTAGCCCAGCAGCAAGCATGGCAGCACAAATATAGAAATTAAGAACATTAACTTGTTTACTAAACACCTTAGCAAAAGTTTTCTGATGATGTGATATTTTAAATAAACAATTAAAGTGAGGAAA